TTTTTTAAAATTTATAATATTATATGTATCAACCAATTTAATAATATAATATAAATCACAATATTTATCTTAAATTTTCATTTTCTTATCATTACTCTTTTACATGACATTATATTTATATAGATTTATCTAACTTATATCCAAAAAACATGTATATTAAATATATTTTTTATCATAAATTTATATTAAAAAATAAAAATCAACCTTTAATTTATCAATTATCTAATTAAATTTATATAACATTATAATTAATATTAATTTATATATATTTTAATATATATTTCTAATAAAAAAAATACTCTAAAACATAGTTTAGAAAAGTCCTAATTAATAGCGGTATGTGTCTGGTCCAATTATTCAGATATTTTGGATGGACTTCACCTACAAAACCCTTAGGAAGAAGGCTGGGCTTGGTAACTTCAACATCACTACTCAGTATTAGCCCACCTCACTTTCCTATTCAAAAATGGCGGCTTTTCTTTTCTTTTCTTTTCCCTGATTCCCTATCCCACGACTCCCATTAATTCGACATCTCATAAGCCAAAGACCCCAAAAAGGAGAATTCGGCAATAACATTACCGGAATATTCCACACAGATACCGCCGGCGGTGCTACCTGTACTTTAATAAAAGTCAAGAATTTAGTCAGATTAAAAGTCAGAAGACTCAAACCCCTGCATGGCTCCATAATTTAATTTCCACTGAGAAACAAAACCAAGACCCACTTCTCAATTTCACATTAGGACAAAATTCCACCAGTTGCCTTACTAGACTCTGCGCCCACATTATTATACTCTCTCTCCTCGCCTTCAAAGGTCTCTCTTCTCTGATCCACCATCAGCCCCACCTCCATCATCACACCCTTTCGCTGCCGCCGCCGTCGCCGTCATCATCACCGTAGCTCCAGCGAATCTAAACCCACCACTTTTCCGGATTCCAATCCATATCATCAAAGCTCGAAACTTTACTTTTGCAACACCTTTCCCAGGTCCCAAAGTTGAAAAGGGGAAAAACTCATTTCTTTTTTTTTTTTTTTTTGCTTACCCTGAAGAAATTGGGAAAGAAAGATTTGAGCTTTGATCGTCGGGGTATTGGGTTTTATCGGATCACAGTGATGGAGCCGCCGGAGCGTAACAGAACCAGTGAGAACGCGAGTATGCGATTTGAAGACGCCGAGAAGATTATCTTGCGGTGGAACAGTACTGCGTCGGAGGATGCCAGGGAGAAGATGATCTTCGAAACGGATAGGCAAGAGGCCGACCTTTACCTGCAAGCTGTGGATGAAATCCAACGGTCTTTGTCCAACGCATCTCTCTCCGACGATCAGTCAAAGGCGACCACCATCCAGATCGCCATGGCTCGGCTCGAAGATGAGTTCCGGAACATCCTCATCATGCACACTGCTGCCGTCGAGACTGAATCCCTAACCGGTTCCACCCACTCTCGCCGCAGTTCAACAAGTTCGAATTTTGAGCTTGAAGAGGAGCTCATCCTGAACACGGAGAAGCTTCGAGAACTCCAACACTGCGAGTCGTCGGATAGTTCCAGCTACCGATCCACCAGTAGCATTCGCGAGATGGATCTGATACCACCGGAAGCGATTTCCGATTTGCAAGCCATTGCTATGCGGATGATTTCCGCTGGTTACTTGCAAGAGTGCATTCAGGTGTATGGTAGCGTGAGGAAATCAGCCGTTGACTCCAGCTTCCGCAAGCTAGGGATTGAGAAGTTGAGTATCGGGGACATCCAGCGGCTTGAGTGGGATGCTCTCGAAGGCAAGATTCGGCGCTGGATTCGCGCAGCCAAGGTCTGTGTTCGGATTCTCTTCGCTAGCGAGAAGAAACTCTGCGAACAAATCTTTGAAGTCGCCGAGACGAATATCGATGACGCCTGTTTCATGGAAACGGTCAAAGGTCCTGCAATTCAGCTGTTCAATTTCGCGGAGGCGATAAGTATTTCCCGAAGGTCGCCGGAGAAACTCTTTAAGATTTTGGATTTGCATGATGCTTGGGTGGATTTATTACCGGACATCGAGGCTGTTTTCGATTCGAAATCTTCCGATTCAATTCGGGTGCAGGCTGCCGAGATTCTGTCCCGATTGGCCGAGGCAGCAAGAGGGACAGTGTCGGAATTTGAAAACGCGATTCTCAGAGAATCGTCCGGCCCTGTTCCCGTCGGGACAATTCACCCTTTAACAAGGTACGTCATGAACTACATCAGTTTGATATCTGACTATAAGCAGACTTTGATTGAGCTAATAATGTCCAAACCCTCAACCGGGTCAAGGTATTCCGGCGACCCCTCGACGCCGGATATGGACTTGGCAGAATTGGAGGGGAAAACCCCATTAGCCCTTCATTTGATTTGGATTATTGTGATATTGGAATTCAACTTAGAAGGAAAATCCAAGCGATACAAAGATACATCTTTGGCACATTTGTTTATCATGAACAATGTTCATTACATAGTTCAGAAAGTCAAGGGCTCGCCAGAGTTGAGGGGAATGATTGGGGATGATTACTTGAGGAAGTTGACTGGGAAAGTCCGGCAGGCAGCAACTAGTTACCAGAGGGCAACTTGGGTGAAGGTGCTGTATTGCTTGAGAGATGAAGGATTACATGTTAGTGGGGGATTTTATTCCGGGGTGTCCAAGAGTGCATTGAGAGAAAGGTTTAAGTCCTTCAATGCAATGTTTGAAGAGGTGCATAGGACTGAAGCTGTATGGATAGTCCCCGATGCTCAGCTCCGGGAGGAGTTAAGGATATCCATATCAGAGAAGTTGATCCCTGCTTACAGGTCATTTCTAGGGCGGTTCAGGGGCCATATAGAGAGCGGAAAGCACCCGGAGAATTACATCAAGTACTCAGTGGAAGACTTGGAGACTGCTGTATTGGATTTCTTTGAGGGATATCCTGTATCCCAGAATTTGAGGAGGAGGTCTCAGTGAAAGGAATAAAGAAACAAGTTTTTAGCCAAAGTTAGAAAACTAGGAGACATTCTTTCAATTTTTTGTAGGGTGTTTGGGCAATGGTGGTGCTGTTGAATCCGAGCTTGCCCTGAGCTCTCTCCATCCAGGCCCCCATAGCCTGAATGCTTTCTGCACTGTATGCATTGTGTCTGTTTTTGGTTCTGCATTCTAGATTTTGTTCCATTTGTTCATATTGTTATTGCTGTATGTTTTATGTTGTGTTCTCTATTGTTAATGAAATGAGGAAGCAAATTTTTTTTTTCCCATTTCCAACTCCTTCTCCAAGTTTAATACTGTTTTTTCCTATTTTGAAGGTAAGCATTCTTAGGTGCATATGAAAGCTACCATTTATTGAACTGTAAGGCTGGAGGTTGGCCAGTTTTTGAAGTTTCTGTTAATAATTTTAATTTTATATATATATAGAAAAAAAGAAGAAGAATAAATACATTTAATTTGAACACTGTTGAAGTGTTAGCAGACTGCAGACATTGAGGTAGATGCGGTATTCCAGACAAAAGCAAGGGTGTAATGGTGCTGGTTTTGCGTCAATTATAAGAATTGAGATTGGGTGATCCTAGGGAGAATTTTTTTATTTTTTATTTTTATATAATTTTCACGTATTATTAAATGAGTTGATACATTCAATATTATACGTCTCATATAAATTAAAAAAATTAATTATTTTAAGGTTAAATGCTTAATTTGGTCCCTCAACTTTAGTGGTTTGCACATTTTTGGTCCCTTGAGAATTTTTTGCACTTTTTTGATCCCTCAACTATACGAAATGCACTCCGTTAGTCCTTCTGTTAATTTGGACCGTTAACTCCGCTTATGTGGCATTTTTTATATTTTTTTTGATGATGTGGAGAGCAAAGTGATGATGTGGAGAGCAAAGTGATGATGTGGAGAGCAAAGTGATGATATGGACAAATATTTTGACATTTTATATTACCCTCATGCCAAATCATACTAACA